AACCTTGGAGACAGAAGAATCAGCTTTAGTACAATCTAACTGGTAAGGAGTGCGGTAGAGACTCAAGAAGGCAGGCGGGGCGCCCATGGGTGGAAGCACCAGAATAAAATTGAAACGGCCAGTTGGATCCCCCTGAGAAGAGCGGGGTCTAAACCAGAAGTGGGGATCTCTAGCCTACAGCACCAGAGCCCAAAAAGTACACAGAAGACAGCCAGCTGTGAAAAGCGGCAGGGTTGCTCTCTGCCAGAGACAGGAGGCTGAAGATGCAAAGAACCGTTTAAAGTGCCAACGCATACATTTTTATTTGGAGCCACTTACCCTGGTCTCCAGCAAAGGTGGGAGCAGAGTGGGCTAGAGACACCTGTGGAGAGACTAGGGAAGGAGACTTTGGGAAGAGAACTGAGAGATCAGCTGGCGGGATCTTGCTGCTGACTCATCCTGCATGTGGCAGCAACCATCTTAGGCAAAGACCACTCCCCCTGAGCGGCAGCAGGATCAAAGGACCCAATAGCCCCACCCCCAGGTGGTATTTCATCCCGTCCTGTGCTTTCTAAGCCGCCTGCTGAATGCAGAGTGGCAACTGCAAATAGTAGATCCCTGGCTAAAGGGAGCGCAGAGAGGTCTGGAGACGGTTGATGAGAGATTGGGGATGGAGGCTTTGGGGAGAGAACAGAGAGACTAGCTGGCAAGATCCCAGTGCTGACTCCTCCCCCATGCCCAGCAGCTTGAGAGGACCCGGTAACCCCGCCCCCAGGAGGGACTCCGTGCCCTGAGCTGTCTAAGGCGGCTTGCTGAGTGCAGAGTGAGGAGATTAACAACTGAAGGAGAGAGCCACAGACAGTAGATTCCTGGAAGTCTCGAACAGACTGCCTAAGGTCAGACAGGGACAACATCTAACATCATCAGAGGCAGATTCAGAAAGTTAAAACAGTGGTCTCCTACCATAGAAGTTCACACCACAAAATCAGGAAATCAAGACAGATCAACTTAAGAAGTAGAGCAAAAAAGAAGAGTGTCACAAATAATGAGAAGACAAAGAAATACCCTCCACTCGAAGGGAAAGGAGGAATTCCCAAAAAGAGAACTAAATGAAATAAAGGCAAGTAAACTATCAGATAATTGAGTTCCAAACAATAGTTCTAAGGAAGCTCAATGAGCTCAGTCAGCTCAGAGAGAATTACAGAAAACTACAGGGACACTACAAGGAACTTACTGCAAACTATATCAGCATGAAAAAGGACATAGAAACTATCCATAGGAGACAAGAGGAAATGAAGAATACAATTTCTGAATTGAAGAACACAGTAGAAGGAATCAAAAGTAGGTTATATGAAGCCAGGGATCGAATCAGTGAGGTAGAGGACAAGGTAGAAAAAAGCTCCCAGAAAGAGCAAGAAAATGAAAAAAGACTCAAAAAGAATGAAGAGGTGTTGAGGGAAATGCAAGACAACCTGGAACGTAATAATATCCATATAATAGGGATACCAGAATGAGAAGAGGATAAGGAAAGGATAGAGAACCTGTTTGAAAAAGTATTGATGGAAAATTCCCTAATTTGAGGAGAGAAAAAGTCACACAAGTCCAGGAAGTGCAGAGGGTCCCATTCAAGAGGAACACAGTGAGGCCAACTCCAAGACACATTATTATTGAAATGGTAAATACCAAAGACAAACAGAGAATCCTAAAGGCAGCAAGGGAGAAAGAGGTAGTAACATATAAGGGAGCCCCGATATGGCTAGCAGCTGACTTTTCAACAAAAAACACTGCAAGCCAGAAGGGACTGGCAAGAAATATTCCATTCATGAAATCAAAGGCCTGCAACCAAGGCTGCTCTACCTAGCAAGTCTCTCAATTCAAATGGAAGGAGAAATAAGGAGTTTCCCAGACAAAAGAAGACTAAAAGAATACATCTCCGCCAAACCAGCACTGCAAAATATGCTAAAGGGACTGCTTTAAGATGAAGAAAAAGTCTATAAATACCCAGTTCCTTTCAGAGTTGCCAATACCTGATATTACCAATATTTTTTAATATGTATTAATCTCTTTGTGACAATGATGTTATTTTAATTGTTCCTTTATTATTTGTTGAAACTAAACCTGTTTTAGTATATTTCTTGCCTATTTCTATTATTTTTAAAAAGCCTTAAATGACCTTTTGGTATTCTTTATCCATTTTTTGATTAAATGTTTGTACAATTTTTCCCTAAAAAATAAACAAAAAACAAACCATTTAGCCTTTTTTAGATGTGTGGCAAATACTTTTCTGTTACTTGTCCTTGTACTTTTTTTATATGTATATTACTGTACAGTCTTAAATGTTTAATATAGTCATATTGTCAGTATTTTACTTTATACCTTCTGGGTTTGAATATTTTACTTCAGGGTAAGAAAAATATTAGTTTGTATTTTCTCATAAAACTCCTTAGATTTTACATATTGATTTTTAACTCACCTGAATATTTCTTGTATAATGTGTGAAATAGGGCTCTGTATTTGTTTTAAGTACTGGTCATCCATGCGCCTTATTTGTTGAATAAGCCTTATTTTACCCATTGATTTGAAATATCAACTTAATCATATATCACATTGTTAGATATATATGTTTGTCTCTAGAATGTGCATTATATTTCACTGATATACTAGATTATTTCTGTGCTTTGTCATGTTGGTTTAATTGCTGAGACTTTATAATGGTTTTAAATTTTTTAATATTTTATAATTAACTTTGACATTTAAAAAAATAAATAAAGTCAATCTGTATTTAAGAAAGAAAGGGAGGGAGAGAGAGTGAGAGAGATGGAACTCCTACCTTTTGTGACAACATGGATGGAACTGGAGAATATTAAGCTAAGTGAAATAAGCTAGTTGATAAAAAACAAATACCACATGATCTCACCTATAAGTGGAATCTATTCAACAAAATAAACTAACGAACAAAATAAACAACAGGCATGGAAATGTGGAGCAGACTGAAAGCAACCAGAGGGTATGGAGAAAGAAGACAATGGTGGAAAGAATGGGAAAGGACTAGACAAAGAACATGTATGAATGACCCATGGATATGGACAACATAGTGGGAATTGACTTGAGGTAGGGGTGGGATGGGTGGAGGGAGGTAAAGGGGGAAAATTTGAGACAACTGTAGTAGAATAAGCATGATTTATAAATTTAAAAAAAAAGAAATAAAATAAGAATGGGTCGAGAGTGAATAAAGAAGCCACACAATCTTAAAGGGCATAGACTGGAGTTGACTATGAGGTATGGTGTGTAAGGGGAAGCCATGCAGTTGAGTAAGAGCATGCCACGAGGTCTAGAGTAAGAAGAAGGCCATGATGGAACTGTGTCGGGATCCACTAAGCCAAGCACTGATGGGTGAGGGATGCTTGGAGCTGAACTGTGACTGGGAATGCTGAGCTGCAGATTTCTGCTTTTCTGAAAGTTGGTACCTCTGACTGGCATATTCTGAAACTGGCTGGGTTTGGCAAAGGAAGGAAGGATTATGTGTTTTGGGGTGTTTTAAAGAGAGTGGGACTTATCAGCAGAAATCTGCCATTATTCTAAATCTGTATAACCTTTAAATAAACAACTCCTTTCCTTTTTCACCAAAAAAAAAAAAAAAAGAGAGAGAGAGAGAATATAAAAGAGTGATTATTTCCTGAAATATTATGGTAAATAAGGTGGGGTTTTCAGATTTATGCCTAATTGGAAATCTCTCAGCCATTATCTTGAATTAATTATTCATGAGGACAGTCTCCTTTGTTTACTTTTGAATTCTTGTGTTTGGCTAGTATTTCTGACATAGCCCATGTTTACCCCTGAGAGCAGTTTTCTAGAATTCAAAAGAATTTTAAGCAACAGGTAGTTTCAATACTTAAAGCCCTTTCGTATTTGTAGGAGAAAATGTCAGAAGAGTACATAGGCAAACGTGTTTCTTAAAGTGAAATTAGGTATTTTAAAATAGTAAATCCTACATAGGTTCTAAAACTTTTAACTTATACTTACATATTATAGTAATCTATATAATTTATTTTTAAAAGCCTTGGTTTCATTTTAATTCTTAAGTTGACAGGATTGTATATGAAAAAAAATTAGGAGACATTGTTTGTTTCATACCACCCTAGTTTTTCTTAAATCAAGATCATGGTTCCAGATTTAAATCAGCTCTAAGCTGTGGAAATGCAAAAAAAAAATCATAGAAAAATGAATTTAGGTGACTTTGCTGTTCAAAGGAGGTATTTTGCAGTATCCTATGTTTTTATATATTTTGATGGCAAAAAACATTCCTGACTTCTGTTTGAATATTCTATGAGTATAGACTTTAGTTCATAACTCTTTCAGCTGGTAAATTTTCTGCCTTTTAGTCTCTATAACTCATGGTGGATGCCATTCACTTAAAGAGTACAAAATCAGAGATACAACACAAATTATACCTGTCAACTGTTGAATGGAAATGACCATACATACTCACCAAGAGAAGTATTTTTATTTTTGTTAAGCATGAAATTTGAAAATAAAAAATATTCACTATTGCTGTTTTTTTTTAAATAAGAAACATAGCAATAGATTAAATAAATACATTTTTGGTATTAGGTTTAGGCTCCTGGAATACTGCCAATTCCTATGTTAGGTGGCCACTGGAGGTCAGTATTTCTCTGATTTTCTTTGGTCTTTGGGTGGGAACTAGCCTTCTGTTTTCAGATCCTTAGATATAAAACTGGCTTCATCTGATTCCAAAAATTCTTCCAAGAAGAAATAGAGAATGGAAAATGCAAAAAATTATTGCATGTATTGTATATATAGTTATTTCAATCTACTAGGGAGAAAGATGTATTTACTAATAAGGAAATTTATTTCTGTTAGATTGTGCATGGTAGTTGTAAAATTCATGTAAACTAGTTTGTTTTTTTCTGACCAAAACATTATGTTAAAGAACTCCAAGGTTAAAGAACTCCTTTCCTTAGGGTCAAAACTAGAACTTAGCCACCTGCAGGTAATATCAAAGATGTCTTCTCCGTGATGTGATATAGGATGAGCACTGAGGCTTTCAATAGTAGAAAGTTGACTTTTAGGTCCATCACCATTCAAATCTATAAATCAGTAGCTTTACCACTATTATACCAAGTATTGACCATTTCTTTTCTCTTGCAGAGAACATCATGGTAATGCTATGCAGCCTTCTGTCAAGGATAATAGTGGTAGCCATGGCTCTCCTATTAGTGGAAAATTAGAAGGCATCTTCTTCAGCTGCAGCACTGAATTCAATACTGGGAAGCCACCCCAGGATTCACCTTATGGAAGATACAGGTTTGAGATTGCAGCAGAGAAACTTTTTAACCCCAATACTAACTTATACTTTGGGGATTTCTACTGTATGTACACTGCTTATCATTATGTGATTCTTGTTATTGCCCCTGTGGGATCACCAGGAGATGAATTTTGTAAGCAGCGCCTTCCTCAGCTAAATTCCAAGGATAATAAATTTTTGACCTGCACAGAAGAAGATGGGGTGCTGGTTTACCACCATGCCCAGGATGTCATTTTAGAAGTCATTTACACTGACCCTGTGGATCTTTCTCTGGGCACCGTGGCAGAAATCACTGGTCATCAGCTCATGAGTTTGTCTACAGCAAATGCAAAGAAAGATCCCAGCTGCAAAACCTGTAATATCAGTGTTGGACGTTAATGCCCCCTTTTCTTACTTTTCTTCAGTCCCTTTCCTTCCCTTGGGAGCATTGATCATCTGTTCTCCATTTTCATTACCAGATGTTTTTCACTGAAGCATGCACATGCCGCTATCACCAAAAGCAAACTGCCAGTTTTCAAATTTCATTAAGAGTCGTTTTAGTGTTTCCTATTCCCTACCATTCCCACTACTTTCTATGATGAGATATCCTGTTCTCCTGACACTTTATTGCCTAGATGCTGCAATGTTTTTATTTTTTCTTTATGCCAAACATAACAAAAACAATTATATAAACCGCTTTAGCAAAATACAGAATAACGGCTTATAAATGGTGTTTAAATATGCATTCATTTTAATCTAATGAACAAATATTGGGATAACTCCAAACCGCATGAAGGGTGTAATTGCAGCATGAGTTAAATCTTGAAGCCTAGAATTGTCAGCACTTCCAACTTGTTGTTTGACAGTGTTATTTATGTTATTTATATTAGCTAACAGGAAAGAACTACTGTGTTTCAACATAATAAATATAATAGAAAAATATTTTATTTGTATTGTATAAAATATTTACAATCATATAGAATATATAGTTACATTTTAATAGCAATTGTATACATGTCACGAAACCATTTCCCTTATCAAAGATGTAGTTTGTAAACCTCAAATAGTTGTGTATCTGTCCTGTTACAAGTAGATGACTTTAATTAAACAAATTTATGAAGGACATTATTCTGATTCATAAAAGTTATAAAATATCAGGTAAATACAGCAAAAACAATAAGCCTCTGAAATAGTCAATATTCTTCTCATCCAGACTACATGAAAATGTGAATTTGCTCAACATCATGCTTAAATATTACAGAAAATAGAAATACAAACATGGCTGGTAAAGAGAAAATGTCGACCTTATTTTTACAAAAGCAAAAACAATAAACATGTGTTTTAGTACAAAGTAACACAAAACAATATACACTAAAGTTGATGAAGCAAAATAGTCTGGCTTTTTTTCCAAGGAGTCATAGCAAACAATTTTCAAATCTTTCATTTTGTACAGAATGAAGAATAACTACAGCTCATGAGAAAACTCTTTAACTTTACAAAGTATAGACCTTGGAACATTAAGAAAAATGCATATTCCCAATGGAAAAATAGTTATATAATCTTAGTTATAGTAAACAAAAAGATTAGCAATCATAACTATGATCACATTAGATATATACTGCAGACACTTATCTATCCAAAATACCTATTTTCAAATTTTAATACAATATTTTATTTTAATATAAACATCTGTCAATCATAGACAAAGATAATTCACAAAGTACATGCTATCAGAATGAACTTTGGTAATCAGAAATGTAAAATTTCAATTAACATAAAATAATGTGCTATTTTTATATAGAAATAAAAAATTAGTGACACATTTTAGTATATTTTAGGGTACTGAACACCTAGCAGACATAGGGGACAAGGTAGTAAATTTTTTTAACACTTAAAAATCTATTAGAAGTTTCAAATAAGTTACATTCTTACTATCTGTATTCCTTCCTACCTAAAAAGCAGAGTTTCTTTCCCCCCTCTCATTGATTTTTAAAAATCATGCTTTCCATACATCAGCATAAGCAATCTTTGGGCACTAGGCTGTCCCTAACAAGTGGCCCATTAAACAACTGAATGCTATGTGTTATTTAGCTTTGATAAAATATTAGGTGTTTTCTGAAATATATTGACTGTGAGTTTTCTCCTTGGCATAGGATAAATTGAATTTTATTTTTCTAATTGTTCTGTTACATATTGTATCCCCCCCCCACACTTAAATCTCTCTTTATCATTTATAATTATATTTGCCATCCCTTAAAAACAGCTAATACTACCACTAAAGTGCTTCAGTTTTCGGTATGTCAGAACTACTTACTCAGCAAGAATGGCAGAGAAAAATAAACTTTATCTTGAATGAAAGTGATCACAAACATTTCTTGAACCTCAGATTGTTTTGGCCATATCTTGCTTGCTGATTAGGACCTCTAGTAGTCTCAGTTTGGCTTTTATGTGCTTGTATTCATAGTACTCATCTGCCATGGGTATCCTATCTTCCTTTTGTGGACTTCTGCAAAATAGAAAATACCATCTGTTTGTTCACACTGAATCAAGTAATTAAAAATCCTTTCATTATTCTTACTTGAGAATCTATGGGATAGCACTTTCCACTTGGTTTTGCATCATGTCTTTTTTGTCTTCCCTTTCACCTTCACTCACTCCCTCTTCCATGTATTATTACATTTCTATTCATTCAGAGTCCTTTTAGTGTTTCCTTTAAGAACTTGAATGTTGCATGTGTTTTGCCAATATATAGTCCAGTGCAGAGACATATAACAATAGGGCAATGAATAGCCTAAGAAAAAAAACAAACACCAGAACCCTCAAGGCATTCCTTGTCTACTCTTTCTCCCATTATCCATTCCACAGGTCCATGCCTGTACAGAATGTTACACTTTATAGTCATAGTTGTTAAAAATACCAAGTAAATGTACTGCATAAATCATGCTAACAAAAATAATTTGTAAGTTTACAAGTTAGTGAAGGAAAAAAGCTCAATGGCTACCTTACAGACATGAAATATTTCCAAGTTTTCTTGTAATTGTATATAGAATCACTGAGAAGTTCTTTGATTTAAGTAATTTATGAGTCTAAACTTCAGTGATTCTTTCGGTACACTGATTCTGCTAAGACTAGACATATGATAATGCATAAATTTATATACATATGCATTCTAACTACTACATGTTCTTACCATTTACTTTGAATAAAAATTGGGTACCATCTGCCATTAAAACCATTTGCCTTCCCACAAAAATATGTTGCCAGGACATGTTCCCTAAAGAGCAATAATTGCTTCAGGATCTCAGAAGATTCTTATTTCCTTGATTGATAAGATGGCCAATTACTTTGAAAGCATTTCCACCCATGACTTTGAAATAAAAGGGGAAGAGAACATAGATGAAGCACTGCAATTGCTACTGAATATAAAAACAAATACTCTTCAATATTAGTATGGCTGAAAATGGGTAAATAGCAAACATTTAATGTTTTACCTATACCCAGTACTGATAAAGATATATTTATACCTCTTACAAATAAAAAAACTAATCCCTAAAAATGTAGTTATTTACTTGCATTGCACCACTATACACTGCCCTGCAATTTCTAGTACAGAACTCAGAACTGTACTCAAAATCTATAGATGGTTCCTCTTAAATGTCTAAATAATACAATTCCTTTGCCTCCATTCTGTATTATGGGCCAAATTTATCATATCTGGTGTCTAAATACCACCTTAACTTTTGTAAACATATCTAACTGAAGAAATGATCTAATTTATAGGAAAACATGAATTGAATAATTGCTTATGTAACTTTTCCCTGGTCCTGCATTCTCCATTTGGGCTAATAAACAAGAGTGCATTGGTCAGAATGGAAAGCTTTGCTAGTATTTCCTGAAGCAGTTTCCTCATTACAGAAAACATGCTTAAAGTGTTTATTAGCATAGTTGCTGGCTCATAATTGTTAATAATGTCAAATCTATATGATTATGCCTCTTACATAGTAAATATTACAAGCACATTTATAGTACCTTAAAATTTCTAGTCATCTATTTGCATGGTTATTTTACTTTATGGATAGTTAGACCTTCACAATAAAATGTCTTATGAAAACAAGATTAAGATCCATATTTTGTATCCATTCAACTAATTGATTTTATTTGTATTATATCACCACTTTTGCATTTAGTTTAAGTATATTACCACAAGAGGGCAAACAACCTCAGTCAAACAGGCTTGTCCGAAGTGGGTTCAGGACTCACAGGTGCAGCAGAATACTATATGCAGAACATAACTAACTTTCTTGTATGTCAGAAGTTATACCAAATACCACTGCAGATCCATTAGGCAGGACCACTAGTACACTGGGAATTTCTCAACCTCTTTTAAATAGACTACCAGGTTTATATAGGTAAAAATGTAAGTATAAAAATTGAGTGGAAATTTTAAAAAGAAAACAATGGAAATGGAAACAAAAAACAAACTTATATTCTAAGTTTATCAGCCACATGACATACTAGATTAGTTAACATCAGCATTAAAAGTAAGTAACTTGGGCTTGTAACAATCAACTGGTAAGGAAGATCCAAGCAGAAAACTAGGTTGGTTACATCTGTATTTGCTGAATACAAAATGTTTCTGACTCAGTAGTTCCAACTTTAGTGAACATCCCTGAAGGACTGTAATGGAAACACTAAGACTAAAAGGCGAGTAGACCGAAGCATTAAAAATGCTTTAGAAAATAATCTCTCTCCATCGGGGCACCTACATTCTGCTGAAATGAAAGCAGTTTAGGAAAGGCAGATGTGTAAATGGAAAGGAATACTGAGAAGTCTGTGCATCACTGACTCCCACCTCTGCCAGCTTAGTAACTTTGTAACTGTGGGAAAAATTGTAACCCTTATTATTATTTTTTTTAAGACTGATGTCCGTATGACAGGTATAACTTCCCAAAGTATTCCAGGAAGTCCAGTCATTTTATCAGGATAGCTAATTGATCTGTTACTGTCCCTTCCAGAAGTAGACCATTAACCTTTATATATAATTTTGTTGACTCTGCACCAAAACTTAGAGGAAACTAATGGAGTTCATAATGAAGACACTTTGGGTGCACTGGGTTGACATAGAAAAGAGGACAAGTAGAGAATTTAGCCAAACATTTATTGAAGGGATAGAAACAATAGCTATGAACTTTTGACCAAATCCTGAAGAAATTAATTAAAGACATCCTGAAATTTAAAGGATATATTTAAAGTAAAAGAGGAATTATTTAATAAAATAGAGAATAACATGTGGAACTAAGTAACCAAGAACAAAGACGTTATATGGGTTGAAAAATAGGGTCTTTTAAATGTTTAGCTAAATTCAGTAGTTATATTTATTAATTAAAGTTGGGATTTTTGAAGGTCATTTTTTATTTTTTAAACTTTGAGGTCATACTTGATAGCCACAACCTTCCATAAAACATACTCAATAGTGGCATTATCAGAATGTTGCATTAGATGAATCCTGGGGCCTAAGTCACTGTGGCAATTGTTTGTATCTTGTATAAAGTCACTGTTCCTCAAAAATTCTAGGTCATTCTTAACAATTTATTCCCTAGAAAATATTAACCTAAAATATTCCTCTGTGCACACTTACCTTCCCGTTTGTTTAAAAAATTGTTCTTCAAATTCTCTTAAGGCTTTCCGGAGTCTCTTCTTGTCAGCCCTAGTTTCTCGGAGATGGTCAAGCAGCACAGGCCTGTATCAGGTAAAATATATATTTGCTATAATTGAGAGATCATCATGAATAGATTTATCTATTTAGCAAAAATATATTCTGATACAGAAGTGTTTGGCCTAAAATGATGTCTTTGGATCAGCAGGGCACATGTAGAGCCAGACCATACAGGTGCACATAAGCAGAGCAAATGACTTGATGAACACAATGTCATAGGAAAGGAGGAGAACGACAACGGATGGGAGGCAAATGAAGTCCATTAAAAATGTGATGAAGGTAAAGCCCATAAGAATGAATGAGGGAGAAAGATATTTTGAAGGAATACTCATCAGTATTTGGTTGGAGACTGAAGAGGAAAAGATTTTAAAGAAAATTCTATCCCTAATCTAGAGTACGGGGAGAATGGCAAAACCCTTAGGAATGAAATGAGGACCCAATAGAAAGCTAAACTGTGAATTCTGCCCACTTCATTCTAAGACAAGAGAGGAATGTCAGTACTTTAGAGCAGGAAATTTTATCTTGGGAACTTGTGTGGGGTTTCAGAAACTCTAAAAAAGAAAAAAATGGTGCCATTGCTTTCAAAAAATGTCTAGCACCCAAAGTAAGTTAAGAACAGCTGCTTTATAACAACTAACCAACTAATCAACAAATAAAGGAAAGTGGGGAGGAAGAGAGGGCAAAATTAAAGGAAGGGAAGGAGAAAGGAAAACTGATTTTCTGCTTCCAAACAGGTCACTCATCTGTGAGCTGAAATCGACATACCAACTGATTCTACAAGCATGCTAAAATCTCAACTGACAATTTAGTCTTTGATCTCACCTCATATTTGTAGGGATTCCACCCCTATCTTGGGGCATATACTTACCACACTACTATACATGTTAAAGAAAATCTCATAATTTGGCCTGTAATATGCAAATTAAAGGGAGACCAAATGATCAAGAGGAATGCCAGCTACTAAACAATGATAATGATTACAGTAATGAAAACCAAATAGCTCCAGACTGAAGAGCCATTAGGAGACAAAAGAGGCTCGTTTACTTATGGCTGTGGGAATTCTCAATCTGGAGAAACCATCTTATCTAAATGGAACAGAATATGATAAAGGCCCTGACAACTACTGACCCACAGAAGGTATCTCAATTCTTGGTCCAGTATTTTAAAAGGCCAAGAGCTAGACTGGTGCCAGGCCCTAGTGAAAAGATGTACAACTGTAGCAAACTGAACATTAGAATTTATGGCATCTTTAGGATCTTATTGGGAGACTTGGTTCCTCATGGTATTATCTTCTCTATTCTCCAGTTAAGAAAAAACCACTTTATGCTTTCAAGGTTGCTACTCTCTGGTTGATAACATTTTTTACATAGTCTAATAGTACTTCTGAATTTTGTATGTACATATAAAGTATCACAGATGGTTAAAGGTGATTCCACACTTAGGATTCACACTCACATGGTAGCCTCATGTAAATTGGACATTGAGAGGGCTGGTGGTTTGATTTCTCTCTTTTCTTCTGGTAGCAGGACCCTTACAGGCTCAGTCTCATTAGAGCAGGTAAAGTGATCACAACCAGCAATGTGAGATAATGGATTTGGCAAAGAAGGCTGTTGGCTTCCCTGTGGACAGTCTTCATCCGAGTCCTCTTCCTCCTGCTTATTGTAGGCAGAGAGAAATAAAGTCACAAAATGCTCAGTGCCCCTTGAGGAAGCAAAAACAGGAAGAGGAACTATAAATACATACCATGTAAACAGTAGGTGACCCCTATGCCTACTGAGAACCGAAAAGGAAAGAATAAGGGGGAATTCTTCCTCAGTTGCATCAAAAAGCTTACAGAAGTTAAAGGGCAAAGAAATACCCATACTGGGCTAAAATGCACACCAAATTCATCTCTGTTTGCTGGGCCAAAAAAGGCATAGATATCCAAGATGTGGTACAGCCTGGGCTGCACTGCCTAGGAGTTCCTCCCTTTTACCCTGACCGCCTGGGCCGCAGCTTCATGACAGCTACATGGGTTAGGATGCATCCAGAAATACCCTAAGTCAGATCCTGGTGTGGGCCACAATCAAATACAGAGAATACTCAGAAAATTGAAAAATTCAGGGAAGAGTTCTATGAAGGCCAAAGCAAAATGGAGATATTCCTTAACCTGTTCTGGTAATGTTTATCATAACCAAAAGACTTTTTTTGCAAGGAAATCTGAAAATCATGCCCCATTTTAAATTATACTTAATGGGAAAATTTCTAAGATTATGAATTGCTATTGTCTTTGTCTTTAAAATTGTGGAAGTATAAATGTACTCAAGTATACTTAAATTTATACTTGTTAATATTTATTCCTTTTTATATTGATGTCTTGAGCAAGTGACTGTTTGAATATTGATGGAGTAGGACTTGTGGTGCTTTTCTAGTTGTACTCCCGTAAATTATTCTTTATTAAAAAGTAGTCTAACTCAATTTCAGTAGTCATATTTTCTATTGAAATGAATTGACATATCTTATACAGCGATGGTCAAATGTTACTGAAAACAAATGTTGCATTATATCAGGTTATATACTGTCAATTTTCTTATTAAATGAGAAAAATTAACTAACACATTGAATAGAAAGGCTGTGTAGCTGTGTTGTAAATTAGGTAATTCCAAACTGAAGTCCATGGTTTGTTCGCATCCAACCAAAGGAAGCAAATGTTAAAACTGGCTTCAAAAATACAATTGCCATAGATTCCTGTTTCATAATAGTTTCAATCATCAGCCACACTGTTAAGTAGAGTATTGGGGTTGAGGGAGACCAGAGTTCTACTTTTTGAAAACAACCACCAAGAAAGCTCCTTTATATCTTTCACAGTGCTGCTTCCCTAACTAACCATAAATACAAAGCATAGGTACAGGTTTCTAGTTTATGAAAGCATCTTGACTTACAATTGTTGGAATCAGGGAAGGTGTTGACAAGATTTGCTTGATAATTCTGCATCGATCATAAAGAGGCTTTATGAGGTTCTTGTCTTGCTTAATTACCTGAAAAGACATGAAATTAATTACTGTTCCTTTCTCACATATTTTTAGCAGGCCAAAAAATTAAAAGGCTTTGAATCCTCAAAGTAAGGGATTATAATAATATAATGCAACAGTAATTAGAAAAGGGGAAATCATTTATAAGATACTGTATAAAGCACATGCCAATTTTCTCCTAGGATAAGTTTCTTAAAGGGTAGGTCCATGTTTAGAAAAATGTTTTTAAAGCTTTTCGAAGGAATCCTCAATGTGTAAATTTTAAGGAACCTGTTCTTTAATTACTTCTTTATTTTTTTTAAATGTGTAATCAAGACCTATTAATTTCTCTTCTGAAACATGTTTCATATGGACTTCCGTGGTTATATTTACAAACAGCAACCTCGCTCAGGTCTTCTTCACTACATGCTTGCATTATATATAGCTTACTGGCTAGCTCTGACATCAAAACTATTTTGGATTTAATATAACCCTGATACCAAAACCTGGCAAGGATAACACAAAGTAAGAAAACTACGGACCAATATCTCTGGTGAATACAGATGTAAAAATCTTACAAAATAGTAGCAAATTGGATCCAACGGTATATTTAAAAAGTAATGCAACACAATCAAGTAGGGTTCATCCCAGGGGCACAAGGATGATTCAACATATGCAAATCGATCAATGTGATACACTCCATTAACAAAACAAAGGATAAAATTCTATGATCTTATCAGTGGATGCAGAAAAAAACATTAGATAAGATACATCTATTCATGATTAAAACACTCAATAAAATCGGCACAGAAGGAAAGTACCTCAACATAATAAAGGCCATATATGACAAACCCTCAGCTAATATCATACTCAATGGCAAAAAAACAAAGCTTTTCCTCTAAAATCAGGGACAAGACAGGATGTCTACTTTCACTACTTCTATTCAGTATGGTTCTGGAAGTCCCAGCCAGAGCAACCAGGAAAGAGAAAGAAAGAAAAAGCCTCCAAATTGGGAACGAAGAAGTAAAAGTCACTTTTTACCGATGACATGATTTTATATATATAGAAAACCCTAACGACTACACCAAAATGCTACTAGGAACAATAAACAAATAGAGTAAAGTTGTAGGATACAAAAATCAATGTACAGAGGTCCACTGTACTCCTATGTACTAAGAATAAAATTTCAGAAAAAAATTAAAAAACAATTCCTTTTCCAATTGTAACAAAAAGTATACAATACCTAAGGAATAAGCAAAGGATGTGAAGGACTTATATACCGAAAACTACAAAACATTATTAAAAGAGATTTACAAAGACACAATGAGGCCATGGCTGGGTAGCTCAGTTTGTTACAGCATCAGTGCTGCTATGCTATGGTTGCAAGTTTGATCTCTCATCAGAGCACACACAAGAAGCAATCAATGGATGTATAAATAAGTAGAACAACAAATTGATGTCTTTCTCTTTCTCAAAACAATTTTTAAAAAGACACAATGAAATGGAAATATATTCTGTGTTCATAGATTAGAAGAATCAACATAGCTAGAATGTCCATATTACAAAAAGCAATGTACAGATTTAATGGAATCCCCATGAAAACCCCAATATCATTTTTTAAAGAAACAGAACAAGAAATCAGATTTGTATAGAACCACAGAAGACCCTGCATAGCCAAAGGAATCCTGAGAAAAAGAACAAAGCCAGAGGTATCACACTACCTGACTTCAAATTATACTACAGAGCAACAATAATCAAAACTGTGATATTGACAGAAAAACACAGACCCAATGGAACAGAATTGAGAGCCCAGAAATAAAACCACATGTATATATGCAAATTATTTTTGACAAAGGAACCAAAAACACACAATGGAGAAAACAAAACCTCTTCAATATATGGTGCTGGGAAAATTGGAAAGCCACATACAAAAGAGTAAAACTAGACTACAGTTTGTCCTCATGTACAAAAACTAACTCAGAATGGATCAAGACCTAAATATAAGATCTGAAACAATAAATTACATACAAGAAAACACAGGTACTAAACTTATGGACCTTGGGCTTAAGATTTTATGAATTTGACCTCAAAAGCAAGTAAAATAAAGGCAAAAATAAATGAATGGGACTATATCAAAGTAAAAAGCTTCTGCACAGCAAAAGAAACTGCCAACAAATCAAAAAGGCAACCAAATTAGTGTAATATGATATTGGCAAACAACAGCTTTGGCAAGGGGTTAATATCTAAAATAAATAAAGAACTCATACAACTTAACATCAAACAAAAAATTCAATTAAAATATAAGCAGAGGACCTGAATAGACACTTCACAAGAAGATATACAAATGGCCAACAGATATGTGAAAAGGTGCTTGACTTCACTAGCTATTAGGGAAATGCAAATCAAAACTACAATGAGATACTACCTCATGCCTGTTAGAATGGCTATTATCAACAAGACAAGTAATAAGTGTTGGAGAGGTTGTGGAGAAAAAGGAACTCTCATTCATTGCTGGTGGGAAGGGAAACTGGTACAGACATTATGGAAAACAGTGTGGTGATTCCTCAGAAAATTAAGAATAGAATTACCATATAACCCAGTAATCTCTTTTCTGGGTAGCTACCAAACAAACTTGAAAACATTTACTCGCAAAGATATATACACTCCTATGTTCATTGCAGCACTATTTGCAGTGACTAAGACATGGAAACAACCAAAGGATACTTCAATAGATGATTGGATAAAGAAGATGTGGTACATATACTCAAATACCATGGAAATATTACTCAGCCATAAGAAAACATGAAATATTGCCATTGGCAACAACATGGATGGACCTTGAGAATACCATGCTAAGTGAAATAAGTCAGCCAGAAAAAGCTAATAGCCATATGATTTCACTCATGGGGTATATAAAATTGAAACTCATAGACACAGACATCAGTATGGTGGTCACCAGAGGGAAGGGGGTTGGAGGTAGTAAAGGGTAAAGGGAGCCAAATACATGGTGATGGAAGATGATTTGACATTGGTGGTGGGCATATGATGCAATAATGGATCATGTATCATGGAAACCTACACTTGAGACCTATATTACTTATTAACGAATGTCACCCCAATAAATTGAATAGAAAACAAAAAATAAAATGTATTAAAGGGATGAAAAGTGGGATCTAATAAGAAAATCTCAAATGCTAATGAGCTCACTGAGGAGTCAAAAATGAAACTAGCTACCTTGAAAATTTACAATCCTCTCTTTGGTTCTATTTTGGCTTCTGAACTCCTTCTTAGGACCCGCTTTATAACCGAGTAGCCACTTCATGGTTTACTATTCTAAAGTTCTCCCAGGAACAATACTGCAAACTTTAGATGCTGAGACCTACATGCTAGTACAGATGTTCTCTATTTAAAGAGCCTAACTTTAGCCCACTGCAGAGATTAGGTTTATTTGAAGGGGTGTCTGACACTTACTAAATTGTTCAACAAGTAACTATTTTAAATAATGAACATAAGTTGCCATTTAAATAAAGATGAAATCTAAAGAACTCATAGATTTTTCTTTGATCTTCAGACTCTCATTTACATGTGCCTGTTCTACTTAGATACCCAGTTTGCCCAGGACCGAAGCATTTTGTAGGACATGGAATTTTCAGTGCTAAAACCAGCAAAGTCCAGGGAAACCTGCAATGCTTGGTCATCCTACTCATCAAAGATCTTAAAATTAACATGTCTCAGACAAGCCTATGGAATTTTCACTTCCACTCCTAATGACCCATCACCACCTCAGGTGCTTCCTTTCCTTCCCTTCCCTTTCTCCCACTCAGTAATTCAGCATGTCCTTTTGCTTCTTTATCCAAAATACATTTTGAATATGTCTATTTCTTTTCATCTCCAAGGATACCATGCTAGTCCAAGTCACCTGTTTCATCCTCCTTCTTCCACTCTTTTCTATGATTTATTCCCCACAAAGCAATCAGAAAGATTGTTTAAATGTAAATCACACCAAGTCATTTTCCTGCTTACAACCACTCAACAGCTTCCCAATACTTTCTATGGCCTAAAAGGTCCTGTGGGATGAGCCTGAGTCTGTCTTTCTGACTTCATCTCATGCCATCCTGTGCTTTAGCCCCGAGAACTGAGAATTACAAGTACACAAAGCTCTTCCTTCAAGGCCTTTATACTTGCAGTTCCATCTATCTAGAATGTCCTTTGCTGCTTTCTTAATCTGTTAATTTTTTTTTTCATTAAATCTTACCTATTGGTCTTCCTAATCACTTTGTTAAAGTACAAAACTTATCTATTCCCTTCTATTGTATCATCTATCTAATTTGCACAATATTTATCAAAATATTTAATGATTTTTATCTGAATTGTTTACTTGTTGTATGCAAACCCCCAGAAGAACATGAGCTCCCTGAGTTTACTGACTCCCCATGACTTACAGATCTTGTTTATTTTTTATAGACACCATGTATCAAAATTCACAATACATAGTAGATACTCAAATCTTTTTTTCAATGAATGACTGCCCACCAGTCACCAGGTATCTTCCTTTATTGTCACAATAATTGCAAGAGTAGGTATCATCTGTATTTTATAAATTTGGAAGTTGTATTTCAGAGAATTGGTTCACTTGCCAAGAATACATGGTTAGAAATGGTTCATTCAAGTCCTGCTTTGAGTCTATTATACCAATCCCAACTCATCTCTCAGTGCCCTAGTCAAGTGAGTAAAGCACAGAATTAGCTCTTTGGTGTTGACCAAGCTGTTTCCATAGGTGTGGTCAAGGTAACTATAAAATGCAGGAAATTCCATCAGAGGCACTGAAGAATGGAAAAACACAGATGTGATAGTCACTTACCAACTGGCTATCACAAAAGTCTAGAATGTTTGCAGGAGAGGGGATAAGTTAGCGGAGTGGATAAAAACCTTGTATTCACTAGTCACACTATAAATTGATTGTGTTTTAAGTCTAAAACTATTTCATAGGGATAAGGGTGGCCAAGGGCCCATTTCTATTAATGACTTGTATATTACATGCCCCAATGTAATGAACTAGTCCAAGGCATATGGTAACCTTTTGGGATTTGGCCTATGTTGCCATCTTGTGATTAAGACCAGGTAATGTATAACATAACAGGTAAAGGTAGCATTCTCCTCAGAAAGACTCCATTCCAAAGTTTAATGTGCTAATTTGTTCATTTATCTGTTCATTCACTCAGGGAACATTTATTCAGTACTGATGTATAGACACTGTAGAATTATAAGCAATAGACAGCCCTTCCATTCAAGAAGTTTAAATTATAGTGCAAGAGACAAAATGGCATAGAGCACAGTTAGAGCTATGATAGAGGAGCTACAACTCTCACTCAAATGAAAGGCAACCACACCACCCTTAGAGTCGAGACAGGAAGGATCATAGGGCAGGTTCACTGGCATAGTGAAATGTAGCATAGATAAGTAGGATGAGGAGGGATTAACCAGGTAAATGCTAACTTCTCTCATCTTCTTCATTATAAAATATCATAATTCTTTTCCTTTGAGCTCCAGGCTCATATATTCAAACGCCTAATTGCCACCTCTATCTGGATACCACAAAGAGATTTCTAAACTAAGATGTCTAAAGCTGAAGACTTCAGACATCGTACCTCATACTTCTCAAGAAACCCTACCTCTCTATTCTTACATAAAGTTCTAAACTACTTTCCTTACTAATACCTCATCCCTGCTTTATTATTTTTAATGAAACATGGCAAAATAGGATCATAATCCTAGTTTTGGGTTCATTTGCTAATTTATCAGGGGAAAATGAGGGCGAAAGGGATATGATATACCCTAGTGTCTTTGCCATATGCTTCCCATCAGTGGGCAGCACTATAATCTCCGAAATAGTAACATAACCTGGAATCATGTGGCAACACCCACAGGTCATGGCCAATAGCCCACCAGGAACTCACCTGACTGACATTGCAGAGCCAGTCTCCTAAAGATGTTTATGTGGTGCCAGAGTGCTCTGATAAGTTGGTCAAAACACCACAATCTCACTGGCACTGTGTGGAGTTTTGGCCCTATGAAGATAGGATGAGGTACCTTAGAATCTTCCTGAGAGGGAAGCTGCTCTCTCTTCTCCTTCAAGCAGGTCCACACAGCATCTGGAGTCTCCTCTCCAGAGGAGCTTGGTTCAGGGCCCACAGCTTCTGGCTTCCCGTTCTCCCTGGGGACTGTGGGTTGCTCACAGGGCAGGTTTCTAGGTGGGTCTTTGGGAACACTTCCTTGTGCCTCTGACAGCTTCAGTTTTAGTTCTAAGAGAAATGCCATGAGTTACCATGAGCAAGGACTCACCAGCTCTAAGAAAAACACAGACTTTCAGGAATCCGCCCCGCCCCCCAATGCCAATGCAGTAGAGATGAACAGTGCTGATGATGACTTTCCATGGCACAAGATCAGCCTCAATAGCCAGGGCTAACAGGGTGAGCTCCCAATCAGATGTGAACACAGAGGGACCATGGAGCCTGGGAGCTCATGCAGGTGAAAGATCATGTGTGGGAGTAACTCTGTGATTTAGGTTTTAGAGTAGGAGTTAAGGAAGACCAGTGCTACTTGGCCCTAAAGTTTTCATCTGTTCCCTGCCATAGCAGCTGAAATTCTGCATGCATAGATTCATTTACGCAAGTTTGGAAAGTTTGGCAGTCATTAAGAGCCCCTGTGGAAAAGTGAGTACTTCTGGAAGGCACTGCACATGCAGATGTCTGAGGAAATAGAGGAGGGATGGGAAAGGGGAGAGGCAAGTGCCAGACTCCACTTGACAGATGTCACAATTTTGTTTAATGCCAGCTTTTAAAATCCAGGAATCACCATTATTACAATGTGGCTTTATATAAACCTACACAATTAAAAAAGCCACCTGGGACTTATCAGGGAACTACATTTCAGAATATGTTAGGGGACTGGTCTTTTGAGTGAGGCTATTTAGATTGATTTCTCAATTACAAGGTTCATTTTCTTTGATATTTTTAGTGAGATGCTGGCATGGTATTTAAACACTGCATATTTCATAAACCTGCTGCATCATTACAGTTTAATACCACTGAACTAATATTCTTGTCCAGTTCTTTAATCACCATACTTCTAGAAATTTGAAAACTCTTCCCATGTCTATAAGTATTGAAATGAGTATAGAGAGAGGAAGAAAATAAATTTTTATTGGTAAATAAACATAGCCTTTTAAAATGAATTTTAGAGTAAATTAGCACTCACACCACTGTCTCCAGAGAGAGAAAGAAAAACACTGGATTAGGAGGCAAGAGAACTGAGGTTTACCCCTAGCTCACCACTTCCCAGCTATGTAAACTTTCCCTCCTCTGGATGTATATGTCCTCATCAGTGCAACGCAGTGTGTGAAGTAAATGACTGCTGAGGCCTCTTCTGCTTCTAATATCCAAGAATCCAATAACCCAAGGAAATTAATGCTCCACACATTGAAATGTTCTCTACACTGAAGTAAGTCACTCTACTTGGGAGTCTGGAGTTCCTCAGTCTATTTATAAAAGATTTACTAAATGGGGCCAAACAATGAAGGATATCCAGGACCCTTTGACGGGGCCTCCAATCTAGGTGGGAGAGAAGGTTAGAGGGTACAGTTAGAAAAGAATAAAAAAATGTCCTGGAGTATATTGCCATTATTTTAACTGTATGTTTTCCCCCTCAGAAAAGAGACCCTTGGCTGGTTTTACCTTTGAGCTGTTTACGGCCTTTAGCCAAATCGTTCATCCATTTCAGGACTTCAGGGTTAGAAGTCTTGTCACCATGTGAAGGCTACCAAGAGAAGGAAAAATTGGGGGTGGAAGGGAAGGAAGGAGGGAGAAGGAGGGAAAGAGAGAGAAAAAGAAAAACAAAATTTTAAAAATAGCCAAACACACAAAGATATTTCATGAATCTGGGAGGTAAATTCCGGCATTAAAAACTCCAGCTGATAGAGTGGCTTCCTCCACATTTTTGTTGTTATCATAGACATTGTTTTTAAACATGCCTGGTTACCCAGCATTTTTCCTATACTCCTAACCATGCCAATGTCCTCAGTCACCCTGTGGGTAACCCACACCCCATGCATTGCCAGGCCACTTTTTTGTATTAGTGTAGGTGATTTCAATGATACAAACCAGCATTATTTATTTACTTGTGCTCACAGCTATGATGGATTATGACCACAACTTGCCTGGAGAATACTGGAAGATTTAGCTCCTATCAATCATATACATCAAGCCCAAGAAAGGAGACCTCTGGATCTCTAAAACTGGATCGCTAAGAAGTCAGTAGGTCAGGGTGATACCCAGACTTCAATCTTCTGTTTATAGACTCAATATCCTACTGGGCTAATGTTAGAATTAAACTTAATCACATGTGTATGACCTTAAGAAAATTATTTAGTCTCTGTCCTTCCATTTCATCTATCAAATGAGAATTATAATACATCTCCCCCACAGCAGGATAAATTAGTTAATATATGCAAAACACTGAAATTAGTTCCAGGCACATGCAAAACACTATAGTTGTGCTAGCTAGAATTACAAATATTATTATTGTTATTACTGGCAGTCATGATAGGTAGCAACGTTACTACCAGACCTTCAAAGAAACACTGAATATGTCTTCATCAATAAACAAATATGTACAGGTATTTATGTCCTACCAAGTAGCTAATTACACTAGGGTATATCAATAATAATATATATTTTATTTTAATAGGATATGACTCTGTTAACACAAATCATTCACTTTGATTTCTGGACTTCTCAGAGCACAAAAGTTGATTTTCTACAGAGAAGAGAAACTAGGAGACAAGAATAGCTAAACATACTTTGCCTCTACCCGCATAGATCAGTAAGATCTAAAAGAGTTGAGGCCACCCTGGTAACTGAAATGCAGGCTCAAGAAGGTTAATAATTACTTTGAGGATATACAAGGAAATATACATTAATTCTCAAGATTACATAACCATAAACACCACAATAATAGCAGGATATGGGTATACTGTTAGTGACCAAGTCTAGGGGTTCTTATATGTTTATTTAAGAATCCACTAAATATACATAACATTGAGTTTTTGGTGTGAGAGAGGTACAGGGAGATGAATGTGTTCCTCTCAAGTTCAAAGGGAAAAGTCGTGCTTGGGGGACAGGATCATCAAATGTACATGGGATTAGATTCATTGTGAAATATAAGACATGATTCTGTCACTTCTAGAGTGTTGAGAAAACCATACTTACTAAAATCGGAATGGAAAAGATGGCTGAAGGAAAATGGCAGTGATTATTTGGTTATTTTTCCTAGGGGAACTCAGAGGGGACACTATGCTTTCCACAAGGGAAGTCCTGGTTTCAGAACCATGGACAGTGATACAGGGGCGTGCCTCCAAAAAGTTTAGGCTAGTCCTATCCAGAGTTTGCTAGAATGATGCACTGTGCTACTACCTTGATAAATAGTCTAGTACTTTCGCTTAGGGTAACAACCTGCTAATATGAACAGTCAATGTTTTATATTCAGTTTCTCTTAATCCTCACAAAACTCTCCACTCTGATCTGAAGAATCAGAGCCTTTGGAACCCATCTTTTTCATTGGATATGCTCCACATAGTTAATGTCATCTTTTGAAATACTGTTAAAAACAAAAACAAAAATTAAATAACCTAAGCAAATAACCACCAAAGGAATGAGCTTTCACTGCTGCAAACAGGACTTAGGAAAAATTTAAGGCTGAATTTTCTGACAAAGTATTTTAAAACCTAGAATTTTATGAAATGAATTTTTTATTTCCTTGCTCCTGGGAAATCTTTCAAAAGAGGTTAAATCAAGCTCACAAGGACAGCTGCTTTCAAATCACATGAAAACTTTTCATATACAAACTGTGGCTCTTTCAGCCTTTTAACTTTTGGACTGAATAATTCCAGCTTAACAGATGCTCAAGGGCCATACAGTGAGAAATTACACAGTGCAAATTTTGTTCAGTGAAATTAAAATGGGGCTCCAGGGTCCCTTACCGAGGGTACCACTGGGTTAGATTTGTGATCTGCTAATGATAGTTCAAAAGACACTTTAGAAAGATCTCTGGATTAGGAAATGAAAATACCTGAGTTGTTGTCTTGGCTAGATCAAGTCTCTGCCGTGTGATCCCGGGGAAGTCATTTCCCTTCTCTGGGCCTTGGTTTCACAATGGCCAAGTAAGAAACAAGGCTGGCTGAGCCGTTCTAATTCTAACTTGTCTAACTACAGTGAAAGTGGACGTTTGGCTAAAATAGCCTTTTCTAGGTCTATGAATTTAACTATAGTTAAACGTAAAATCAGTTGCAGGGAATAAACACAGTTTTGGACAGGAATGTGAAACAGTTACACTCAACTAGCTGGCACAGAGGCCCAGCAGGAACTCAGATTGAAAAATTAGTAGTGAGTGCTATTCATCCCCCATGGTCAGGCTGCCAGGAGGGAAAGCCTGAGGCACAGCCACCAATGAAAACCCACTGACAATGTCAAATCTCTAAGCCCAGCCTGACCCTGACAGGAAAGGTGAGAAGAAGCCCTGTCTCCTGAGACATGGTAGGTTCTGATTACTCCAAAGGCTACACACACTGAAGCTGGGGGACCATGAGGCCTCCTGGCCCTGCAGCGGCTGGATCCATCCATCTGTATGTGTGAGTGTCTAAGTGTGTGGACGTGTGTCTGCTCTGGCTCTAAAGCTTCTCCAGACAAAGGCAGGAGGTGCTGGGACAAATTCTCTTCTAAAATAGGCAAGTTCTAGATGGCTGCTACAGTTGAGAAAAAGCCAGAGGGCCTGCGGCTGCAGGGAGAAAAGTGGGGATCTAATGTGTACAATTCTCCTTCGATTTCTGACAAGCGGGGGCTGCCATGGTTTAATCTGTTCAGATATCACTTAAATACATTCAAAAGTTGATAGTTTCCAGGACTACTTACTTTCTTTGTGCTGAACAATGTAATAAGCTTTATGTGTGTACTTCCTCATTTAACACTCACGAACGTCTGAAGTCACTAGTTCCATTTTACAGGTGGATAAACTGAGACTCAGAAAGGTAAGCAAGCCCAAAGTCACAAGTTCCTATGTGGCTGTGCTGGATTTAAATCCAGATCAATCTGATTCAAGAACTGCCAGGTGAGCATTGTTAACAGACTGTGGGAATGGAGCCCTCTACTTGTCACTCAACAGTTTCCCTTATGAGGGCATCACAGGTCCAATAACACTCCAGCAGCAAACAGGGAAAATCAGCTTCTCTAAGATACCTGGAACTTTCAAAATAGGGATGCTTATGAATTTTAGTTCTACTCTTCCATTGTAAAACTTACTCAGACTTAATCTACCACCCAAGCCCGAACAGAGGGAACATAACCACCTTACACAAGTTACAAGCCTTCCCTGGGTCTCAGTTGTATTACCTATACTACCAGTGTGCAGAGCACCCTCCCACTCTATAAAAAAACAAAACAAAACAGTAAGTAGCTGTGACTCCCTGACTTCAAAGAAGAGAATAATCTTTAACACACTGACTTAGGTTGTCCTGAAAGTCAATCTGATTTTTTTCCATTTTGCAAAGCTACAATCCTGCCTTTAGTAAATGTAAAGCCACTGTGGGAAACACAAGACAGAACAGGAAAATGGTTCAATACCCACGCTCTCCTCCCTCCCAGAACTTATCCTACACTCAGAGGGACCTGCCGATTACCTCTGTACCAAGTGCTTAGTGAGCCTTTAAATATTTCAGGATATATGAGACATTATTCCCTGTTGTCTGTTATTCTAATAACAAGCTGTTCTGGGCCCTCTGCCAAAGACCCAATATCTTTGTGCAATTCTACACAAACACTATTTTTCTCTATGACATGGTCACCATTAAAGAAAATAAATAAAACCAGCACTGGCTATCAAGACACTTACCACTGACTTTACTGCTTCTTACGTAAGAAAAGGTTCATGATTGCAACACTGCAGCACCAGCATGAAGCCAGTGTCTCTCTGACAGGAAAGGATGGATCAGGGTGTGTTCTCATGAGTGACCCGAACAGATGTCATTTGTTCCCCATCCATCAATCAGGAAGTACTTTAATGTCAAGAAAAAAAAAATCTCTCTCTCATTTATTCTGCAATTAGAGATTCTGTCCTTTGGGTCATTAATAGGTTCTTATCAAAATGAAAATGGGAAGAGGTTAAAGAAAAAATAAGAACATAATTCAAAAGGTTTTCAAATTTTAATTCCTAGGGACACTAGTGATAGTAGGGTTCCTTGGAAGAAAAAATGGGGAGGGGGATCAACAATCAAATCAGTTTGAAAATAAGAGTTGTAATTAATTGCTAGGAGATGTCTTAGTAGATACCAGCTGACAGCATGTGAAAACAAGACACACCCAAGATGGGTACTCAATTTATGATGGGTTGGCCGATGGAAGCAGAGTTGTTTCTGGTACAGAGGAGCACCGAGAAAGGAAAAGCCAATGCATCTCTTGACACAGTCCACACTCGTATTTTAAAACCCACAGTTCTTACCCGGTATTTCTTTTCTTGTTCAAATTTTTCTTCAAATTTCCGGATTTTCCGCTTGAGGCTCTGAATGTGCTTAGTGAGCTGGGCAATGGTCTGTGGCTCCTTGCTGCCACTACAGCCGCACCGTGAAGAACTTCGGGGCCTGCAATGATTGCAGGGTGGAGAAAGAAAGATCAAAAACAAGGCTTCTGGTAAACGTTGCTGCTGCTCCTCTACAAACCAAGCTTCTTGGGTTGCCAGAGCAGTCCAGAGGGCAGTTCATTATTTGATGAGTCTACCATAGCAGCATCTGCTCATTAATGGAGACCCCTGATCACAGCACGCCATTATGGGCAAATATCATCAGGGATTTCAATGCACAAATATCAGAACATCAGTCCAGGAAACACATTTCCTAAAGCTTGGAGGAGATCAACTTAAGACTAAAAAGAGACAGCCCTATTGTGGCATGATCCTCAGTAGAGTACAGGAGCCACGCCTACCAACATTTTCAAGGAAGATTTAAATGAGTAGTTAACTTCTCTTTACATAACAGAGCCTCTGTGAATCTGATGAAAGGAACGGGCCTCCGCTCCAGAAAATACATCACCCTCTCACATGATACATACTTTACAATAGCAATAACTCACTAATTCCCTCAAGTCTATCAACATATAGTCCATGGGCCCAGGTTTGAATAAATTCATAATAGAAGCACAAGTTTTTAAGGAGATACTAGAGATTTCCCTGCATGTATTTTAGCCAAGGGACTCTCATTTTAGCTATGAATCAAAATTATTTGTGGAACTTAAAAAAAAGGGAAAGAACACACAATTCTATACTTTTTCTTGGGAGGGGCAGCTATTTTAATCTCCCACTTTTCTATAATCTATGAAGAAATTGAGGTGGACAACTAAGCATTTCTAGAGGCCATCCACTGAAGCCACTGTTGGATGTGGAAAGAATATTGAACTCATGAAGAATAATATTCCTGCTATTTGTACACATATACATTTACTTAACTATCTGAGCATTTCACCAAAAATGTTCAATCATGCAAGCCCTGGGGTGGCTTGTGTCTCGTGACTGTTTCTGCTGAGATAATAAGGCTGGAAACAGCATTCTCAATTAGAAAGTACACCAATTTTTGCCATTTATTGTTCAGGCATCCCAGTTACATTTGGTAGGCATGTTTGCACTATTTCGGACACACTTCATTGTAGTTTGTAAATGTAGTACTTAAAAAACTATATGAAGTGAAAATAATAAAACAAGGTTTTCTTACATAATAAACTGCTGAGTGCTGGGTGGAGATGGGGCTGATTCAGGGTCTAAGTTGAATCTCTGGCTTTGGCTGAAGATGGAGCATCGTGGTGACAGCAGCGGGTTGTCACCATCAGTGATGTGATAGAGCAGGCGGCTGGTCCCAACAGACTGGAGGTCTTCTGGGGCACTGTCTGCTCCATTCTGCCCGTCTCTGTGGACTGGTGCGGGGTCTGAGGAGAGAAGATAAATCATCAGGGCTTAGAAGTGACAGAGGGCTTGAGACTGTCATATTCCTAAACAAGGATCATCAGCATTCATTATCTTGTCTCTTTGTCATTTCTTCCTTCTGGGGATATGAAAGGTTTTCAAAACACTGTCATGTTCGTTCTCACAGAACCATGATAAAAAATATTACAAAGCCACCAACCAAAAAGAAATGAAAACACAAATTATTCTGGTATCAGTTATAGAGTCAGCGTAACCCAAACCTATAAACATCTTCTCTTTATTTACTATTATTTTTAAACATTGAAGGGCGAATTACAAAATGTTTGGTGAAAAAAGGGAAAAAATAAAATGAAGCTGGAGCAAAAGATGATAGATTATGAAGAAGAAAAGGGATAAAACAATCTCCAATGAAGGAGGAGAGGAATCCCAGAAAGAAAATTATTCAGCAGTCATTAAAAATGATGCAGAACTCTGCTTATCAACATGGAATGATGTTCAAAATATGCTAAATTAAAAGCACAGGTTTCAAAATAAAACAGGAATGATTCCATTTATATTAAAAAAAGCATAGATTTAGGTCTACAAAAAATGTACTAAAAGATTAAAAGAAGCTATAATACACAAAACTACAATGCATGTTACAATTCAGAACGATTCTGTATCTTCTCCAAAATTTTGTGTAGCATTTTATTTTGGACAAAAACAAAAAACAAGAACAAAACCTGCTCCAAACCCTCTCTGTGCTTAGGCAGCTCTGTGCCTGAACTCTCAGTGATCATTCATTCCCTTTTTAAATGAGCTCATTAGCTCCCCACTGCAGGGTCGATCTAGAAGTGGGCAGCCCGTGCAACAGAAGTGAGGGCATGCAAAGTGAGGAGCCTTAGGGCGCTGCTGCATCATGGTGGCTAGGATGACAAGCTTTCCATCACAGGAATCGGTACAAAACTATTCAAGAAGCAGCCAAAACAAACTGCTCAGTTCTGCCCAGCAAACAAGTCAGGACAACCAAGGCCTTCTCTTACACCTACTATTTCAAAGAAGTAGAAAACCAAGATTTCCTGGGTGAATAAGCAGAAACTGAAAATAATGACAAATCCACTTTTCCAAAATAAACATTGATCGCAAAGTGGTACCAGATGAATCTTAATCAGGTTTAGAAGGACCCACGTTCTCTAGAGCTTGAAATGCAGTTTGCTTTGTGTAGCATCAAAGATCTGATTAGTGTGTTTTCACTTGGCCTCTTCCCTGTTGGAATGTAGACCGAGAGAGTGAATAACACCTCCTGCTGCACCTTTGAAGCTCATTGACAGCAATTTTGTGCCAGTGACTGAGCCTGGAAAGGATGAGAGCTGGAGAAGAGCTGGAGCTAGAAAAATGCCAGGGCCCAGACCCACCGGCAAGGTGTGCTGCTGAGACTGACACAGCGCACCACAGGCAGTGCGCTTGCTCAGAATAATTTACCCAGAAAACATCGCAGCTTTGGCAGGAGCCCTAAGGCATAACAGGAGAGTTACGAACCAAAAAAGAACAGCGTACACTAACACTCATCTTCAAAACCCACTAGGAGGCATAAACGTTCCTTACCAAATCCTTTTCTTCAACCAATGGGTTTAGACCAGCTAAAAAGAAATGCATTTTATTCATATTACCTGTTTCTGGGCAGTATCTTTTGAAGATAATGATGGGGAAGGAAAGAATCTTTAGCAAGCCCCTGGGGCTGGCATATTTTTGTTGAAGTGGGAAAGGTCTGAGGCCTTCAACCTTTCGGCTCAGCCACAGCCCCAGGGTCAAAACTAACATGTGGCTCTTGGTGCTGTTGTACAATGTCCAGATGAAGGCACTGGGGTTCCCAACCACACGATTGAAGTAGAGGTGAGAAAAGAGCTCAGCTTCTGAAACTCCAAGTCCTAAAATGTAACTTCAAAGAATCACAGATTTTCTGAATGGCTCTTTTTTAACTGCACTACAATAGTAATTATAAACCCCCATTTACGTGGCAACTGCTTCCTCTGGTACTCCAATAATTTACCAGTGCTACCTAATTAACATCCTGATTCCCCTTACCCCCCCCCCCCCCGTCACCACTGAAGGAAGCATTGAGCCAGAAAGATCCCCAAATGACCAGCTGAAAACCAAGAGTCAAAAACTCGTAATGTGGTAGCGCCTCAGATCTCTGCCCCAACTTACCATGTGGGTTGAAAATGGCTTAATTAAATCAGACAGTGCACGTACATTGTGTGTGCATTTGTGCAGACAGAATTACTGAGCTCCTTGTTCAGAAAAGGCCAGTGCAGCTCCAGAGCCAGCCGTCACTGCTGCTGTCCTGGGAACAGAGCCCAGGGACACCACTTACAGGCCCTGCTCCCCAGTAACTGGGGGATGGCTCCCGATGGTCCCCTGGGGACATATTACTTTTTCTTCCAAAGGAAGGAACAGCTTGCCAGGGCCCAGTGTATGATGCAGTATGGTTTAGAGAAAGGGGTCTGCGAACCAGGAGTCTCCACGTGCCTTACACTCTTGTGGGGCTCCAGTGAGTGCACAGACCTCTCTCAACGTCCTGTTTAGCCCCTTGCACAGGGCTGTGATAGAAAAGGAAGAGACCTGCTGTACCTCTTGCCTATAGTTAACAATACTGTAGGGTATGTTTAAAGTTGTTAAAAACATGGATCTCATATAACTGTTCTTACAACAAAAAATATTTTTACTCCTTTTCTCTTCTTTGTATCTTCTGAAACTTCTATAACAAATAAGTCTTATTTTTATAGGAAGGAAAAAACAATAGAAGTTAATACTAAAACTTTTTAAAAAGGAAATGAGCCTTCCTGAGAAAAGAGGTGAGAAACAACCCCAGAGGTGGCACAATAGAGAGCAAAGATGGTGAGTTTGAATCTCAGGCCTACCCCTTGTTAAGAGAGGAGACTTCACAAATAATAGGCCTTTTTAAACCTCAGTTTTTACATTAGTAAAATGAAGAGAATAATGGTGCCTCCTTCATAAGACTAAGTGAGAATAAAAATGAAATATAACTGTCTTCTGACAATTTTTGTCCTATCCTCATAAACTCTTTTTACTATATATGTATATTAAAGTATAGATTATATATATAAAGTTATATATTTACTATGTATTTTAGATAGGTTATTTTCAACCTATAGCTTTTTAAAATTTCAGCTTCACCCTGGGCCCTGATGGCCAAGAAATCATGAATTTGATGGGCTAGTTACATTTTTTCCTACTAATATACATTAAAATAAATTCCTATTAAAACTAATATTGCTCACCCATGCATCTTTTGTATAGCATAGGTATTTGATGAATATTGAGATAAGGTATGGAAACTGCTAAAAATAAAATAACCATGAGAACAATCATTTTAATAATTAATATCAAAGTAAGAAAGCTGAATATTACCTTCTCTTAGTGAAGAACAACTATACAAGGAGGACTTATGGGGATAATATTTGAAATGAGAGCCAACATGCTCCCCAGCATATTGTCCCTCCTACCAGTGCTTATTTAAAAATAAGTAAGTAATCATCATAAATAATATTTATGGAGTGACTCACTATGTCCTCAAACTTGTCATAAGAGTTTTCGCATATGTTTAATTTTCTTAACAACCACGTGAGGCTAGCAGCAATATGATCTTCATTTTAAACCCAGTAGGAAGGTGGTATGACTGCGTTAACTCCATCCAAGGAGGATGTGACTAGTGCCTGTGGTACAAGACTCCACACCCCTGACCCTGGGAGCCCAAGAGTGTTTCTGGCAGTCCACTCACTGAGCAATAGGGGATGTAGAGAAGACAAATAATTGTCATCAGTGTGTGAAGGCCAAGAAAGTGCAGCTGATCTGGCTGCAACCCCAAGCAGAACCAGATGTTGTATTATTACAGCTGTTAAATGAGTCAGTCAGAATTCAAAATATCCTTTTCTAATGTGAATTTTTAAAGTCTTTAAAAACTTAAGCAAATCTCTACCTGCAACCATTTGAGATGGACTGCTGAGATCTAACTGAGCAATACATTAGCCATTGTCTTGTGGATTTGTTAATTTGTACTCTTGGCTTTGCTCATCCTGGTGGGTTCTCAGGTAGCATTCAAGTACATTCCAAAATGCCAAACACCAGCCTTTGATGGTTTTAGAAGCCAAATGAGCCAAAAACATGATTCTAATGAGGCTCAAGTATCAGAATTTCTAGCCAGCCTCTCACAAATAGGGCCACCAAAACAAAACAAGAAATAACCCAAAACATCTGTTGCAAACACAATGGGTTTGGTTTGGGATATGCTGGAATTTGAGTGCCCCAAGGCACTACGGGTTAGCTAGGAGATCACAACAGAGAGCACAGGGAAGCCTGAAGTCATCCCAGGAGGTAAGCCTAGGGAAACTAAGAGCTTTTTTTGCTCTGAGACCACTGAGAGAGGAGGAGCTACCTCCAAGGGAAGGACAGACAGGGCAGGAATGAGGACAGCTGAAGAGGGCTTCCGGGTTAGTGAGGCTGATCCAGTTATGGAGCAGTGGGCGGCTGGCCCCTCAGCAGGCCTCTGTGTGCCAGCTTCTGTGGATGGCCACCAGAAACACCAGGGAGTTACAGGGGTGGGACATTTGTCACCCTGAAAGCAGGTCTGGGCTTTATGACAGGCACCTTGCAGAGGCCAAGAGGTAGTTTGCCATCATGGATAAAAGCATAGGCCATAGACTCAGAAGCACCTAGACTCAAATCCCAGTTTTATCATATGTGTGACCTGGGACACATTACTCAATCATTTTCAATCACGGTTTTCCCAGCAGTATAATGGGAATTCATTCGTTCAACAAGTGTTTATTGACCATCTACTGTCCACCGAGTCCTGTTTCATATGAGAATGACAACAGTGTTTACCTTATAAATTGTTAGGAAAATTTTTAAAAGATAAGGACATCTAAAGTGCTTAGGACAATGCCTAGGGAAGAGGGAATAATTATCCATTAATAAATGTTAATTGGGTGGTATCTTTTCT